TGTGGAGTTTCTCGGGTATCAAGGCATCAAAAGGTCATATGTTAAAAGCTGGAACAGACTTCAAAGGCCATCCATCTAACCCAACCTCCTTATTTCACAGATGAGGAAACTGAGGCCCAGGAAAGTAAAGTGATCTGTCCAGGGTCACTCAGGTAGTAAGTGTCCGAGACAAATTTCAAACCCAGATGTTCTAACTCCTAGGCTAAGTCTTGCCTCTGACACCTACTATGTGAAACAAGTAAACACTCTCCCTCTCAGTACGCATAGGTCGCCCATCTGGTTCACTGAAACAAGTGCCCATGTCTATGAGTTCACAGATCCAGAATGTTGGGTCTTTTGTTAAATATTCTTTAGCTTCACAGATATAAAACATGAACCTGACCCCAGCTTCCAGACTCAGGCATGTTTTAATAAGGGACCATTCCTGCATTCAGCTGCAGCCTGGCCCTCTAAGGCTCCAAGAGCTGGCCTCTGTCTTGATGGAACTGGACCACATGTGCTCCAAAGCAACTGCTCCCCATCCCCCAAAGCTCGATGTGATCATGGCTTGATGACATTTCCTTCTCAAATGCAATTCCGCTATGGCACTTTATCAGTCCAGAGCCCCGAATTAGCCACGGAAAATAGAATTCAATCAGCTCCTACATGGGGAAATCTAGGTCCTCATCAACTATCCGTGTAGAGAAAAAAGCAAATCTCTACTGACCCACAGCCTCAGCCAGTAAGAACCCCTTACTATAAACGGATGATCAAACAGTGGGAAGTGACAGATTCAGAGTCCTGGGTGTGGGTTCCAATCCTGAGTCTGTAACTTACTGCCCAGCTGATGTTGGGCAAGTCACCCTTGGCCCCAGTTTCTTCATCTATACAAAGAAGGGTCTGGACCAGATGACATCTTTGGTCCTTTCTGGCTCTTGATCTGCAATCGTTTGGTTCCCTTCCCCAGCAAATTTCACAAATTTGGATTGTTGTACTTACCAACATGCTCAACCTAGATAATCCTCCCCCCCCAAGCCCTTCAGCTTAGGCCCCAAGGTGTGCTTCATGTGCCACTGCTAATGAAGAGTTTGGGGAGCATCCCAGCTAGACCTGCTGCCCAGGAATAGAACTGACCCATGCTGCTCCTGAAATTCTTAGGGATGTAGATTCCTCCAAAGTCTGAGCTGACAGATATGAGGTGTCGGGCTAGCCTTGCCAGGTTAAACACAGCTAGTAAAGCCTCGTGCCCCACTTTCCTGGCACTAGAAGGAAGCACCCGGGCCAGAGTTCCTGAGAGAAAGAAATATGGAGTCATCTGCCCCTCTGACATCAACATCAGCTTATTATCATTATTCCATGCCTGTACACCTTGATCCAAACCTCCTCCTCGAAAGCTGTTCCAAACCAATTCCTCCCCAGGGCAGCCAATTACGCTATTTTGGGGAGCTATTCAGATGTGGTACCTAACCAGTACAAGAAATCTGAGAGCACCCTACATAAAAGATGGGGCTTCATTCAGCCAGCATTCAAACTGTCATTGGTCCAGGTTTTGTGGGTTTCTTCAGGTCCCATACAACTCAAGCAGAGAGAGGCCTTAGAAATCACCAAGTCCAACTGCCTTTTTTTACCAAAAAGGAAACTGAGGAAACCCAGAAAATTGAAGTGGTTTCTCCAAGGACCCACAAATAATGAGAGCACCAGACATGGGATTTGAACCAGGTCTTCTGGCCCCAAAGTCAATGCTTTTCCCATGGCTCCACCCTGTCTAACTGCCCATGATAAACTGTTCATCTTGGTCTTGGCATTTACAATTCATGGTGCTCATGTGATGTCACTGGAGGGAGTAACTTTGGAACATTTTCCAGATGAAAAAACTGAGGTTAAGTAACATGGTCAAAGTCACATGTTAATTAAGTGATAAAGATGTCACTAAGCCCCAGACTTGAACCCTTCATTGGAATCCCTCAGCATTTATACCTTAAGAGCCCCAAGGGGGACACTGCCTACACAGTACCAGCCCATGTTGGCCAATAACATTTGCTAGTTTTAGTCACAAGAACACTCACTACTCCTGGTCACAAGAGACCTACGTCCCTCTACTACATATACTGGGGGTGTTAAGCTCTTGAGTCAAGGGCGAAAAAGAAAAGACAAGAATCCACCATACCAGATCCAGGCTGAGCAGGTGGAAAGGCTGGGGAATTAAGGTCATCCTTCCAGAGGATCTGAGTTGTGACAGAGTATGACCTTCTGTACTGCCCCTCACCTCCACCCCTTGCACAAAGACCATTGCAGCCTTCCCTCATAGCTCATATAAAGCAAAAACAAAACGAAACACCTAAGGTACCTACTGACTTTTGAAAAATACATTGCATCATTCATAATGGAAAACAGGCTTTTTCTATTATACTTACAAGTTTGTGGAGTTTTTTTTTACCATTTCAATTTATAAATTGAAATTGAAATATAAAATAAGCTATTAACACTGCTTTCTTTTTATTTTAAAACAACAAAGACTTGTGAAGTCTTAAAAGAAAAATTGGATTCAGAAAATATGAAGGTTCAATCATGTATAATGAGCAAAACCGTGGCAAATATGAAATCAAAGGATTGTGGGAAAAGCTGACTGTCATTACATGAAGTAATGCATCTCACTAATGAAACAGACCTTTTTGAAATAATGCAAGAGTAAAAGTCTCACAGATAAACTCAAACGATACAACAAAAAGATCCAGAGAACAGAGAAAAAGAGAAGGAAACTCCAATATGTAAAATGTGACTTCATTTGGCTACATAAAAAACTTCATATATAAAGTCAAAACATATCAGAGCCAATTTATTTGCCCCCGATTGATGGCTGACACGCACATCAAGTTCCACAGAATCATTATTTAAACACAGTGCTACAGAGGAAAGAGGGCAGGGTGGAGAGCTGGAGGACTGGGATTAGGTTCCCACCTCTGCCCTTCCTAGCTGTGGGACTCGCAAGTCGCCTCAGGACCCTGGGCCAGTTTCCACAACCGTAAAATGCGCAAGTCTTTAGGAGTTCTTCAAGGGGAGCCCACAAACTTCTCTTTAAAAACATGTCGATTACCGCACTTCCATATAATCAGTTTCCTTCATAATACAATGGGTTTTATTTGATGAATTTGAAGACATGATTCTGAGAAGGGGTCTATAGGCTGATCCCCCAGCCGGCTACCCAAGGGTGGTCCAGGACACACAGAAAACAAACCCTTGGACTAGATGATTTCTTGGGACCCTCCCTCCAAACTCTCAAAGTATAATCATATTCGTATTTTCTATGTAAATCACCGACACAGAAGACCTTTTTACAGGCAATAAATAAGCATTCCCTTCTGGTCCTGGAGTTTGCTAACAAACTCCCATATTACCTAGACAATCATTTGTAAACCACCACACTTGGCATAATTTATGTAAACTTTGTCTCAATGGCAGTCTCAATATACAAAGGAAACAGGGAAAGAAAGTCTTGGTAGTTTTTAAAATAAGAAGAAAGGAGTGTTAATAGCTTAGTTTATATTTCAATTTCAAATTATAAATTGAAATGGTTAAAAAAAACCTGTAAGTATAATAGAAAAGGCCTGTTTTCCATTACAAATGGTGAAATGTATTTTTCAAAAGTCAGTAGATACCCTAGATGTTTTGTTTCCTGTGGTGGTATTGGGGGGGGACCTTAAGAATCAACATTGAAGCAGCCAGTGTCACAGCAAGCTCCAATATGGTACCCCCAGTCTGAGCCATACCATGCAAAGTCAAAGGAAAAGAAAGTCAAAGGCAGGAAAGGATGAGTAGGTCCCTAATAAGATCCAGCCTGCATACCGACAGCAAGGATCACAGCTAGTATTTATATAGCACTTTGGGGATTTGCAAAGTGCTTTACAAATGTTTTCTCATTTTCTCTGTCATAACAACCCTGGGACATAGCTGCTATTATTTTGTGGGAGGTAGCTGCTATTATTTTATCTGTCTTACAGATGAGGAAATTGAGACAGACAAAGGTTAAGTGACTTGCCCAGGGTCTTATAGTCAGGGTCTGAGACTGGATTTGAACTCAGGTTTTCCTTAGACTCATAAATATCATGACATCCACTAGCCTTGGGGGTTGAGGAGTCCCCTGGGTAGGTACCTAATGGGTAATTAGTTGGACCTCGAACTCCTTAAACAGGAGTTCAAGAAACAGCCAGGATGTAAGAAAGAGACATACCAATAACTATTCTGTGAGCTGTGGGCCCTCTGGACCTTAAAACATCAATAAATCCTCAGGAGTGAGTATTTTTTAAATTGAAGTTTGATTATTTTCAAACGTACATCATGTTCTTCTGGAAATTAAGGAAAGGAAAGATTCAAGGATTTGGGTTCTGATCCACTCCTGAAACAAAGCACTATGGAGAAAACCTCTCTGCTCCCCCCTACCCACCCAAGCATGGAGGGAATAGAAGCATGTGGGCTTGGCAAGGAAGGACATCCGGCTCAAGTCTGGAAAAATGAGAGAGCGCTGAGATCCAGTTAAGGCAGACCATAAAACAACTGGGTGGCTCTCCCATAAGCACCAAGAACTGGGGGAATTTTAACCCCGACTTGATTGGATTAGATCATATCAGTGTAAGATGCCCAAATCTCTTTTCCATCCTTTCTGCGTTATTTGTGTCAAAGCCCAGGATTTATTTTGCAGCCACAAGTGTTGCCCCCAGGTTCTGCGATGGTGAAGTCATAAATTCACCAGGGTTTGATCGCTGGGTAATAAAAGTACGAGTTCAATGGAAAACAAAACAACGAAAACAATCGGGCAGGACTATAAAGACAAACAAGAAACTCAAGGTAAGCACGCACATTTCCCATTCTAAAATTTCAGAGGAAGAAATCTGATTTCTCCATCTGCTTGGCAAGAGCATCCCTTCACTCCCCCAATGGAGGCTCACCACTGGCTCGCCGATGCTACTCAGGGCCACCACCCTGCTGAGGCTCTCCACCCAAGGACAATCCCACAAGGGGCCCACCTTTTTCTGCAGCACGTTGATCTTCCTTTCCTTCACTTCCAGCATGTCCTTCATATCTCGGATCTCTCCGGCCAGCGTCCCTTTCTCTTCCGTGAGGTCCTGTAGCTGTTTGGTCTTTTTGTTGAGGAAAGATTCTTTCTCTTCCAGTCGTAATCTCAGGGCATCAACCTAAAAACAGAGGATTGAAAAAGGGACGGTGAAGATTTTAATAAAGATAACCTCGAGTCTATCCCAGTTTATCAGTCGTGAATTTGGACATAGGGACAACTTGAGATCAGCAGAGTTCAATTACTTGTTTATAGAAAGAAATTAGATACAGAGAATGACTGAGCTTGAAATGAGCCAAATTCTAACACAAGAAGGTAATAATAATAATAATAATTTTATATAGCTAGTACGATGTGCCGAGCACTGTGCTAAACGCCTTACAAATATTGTCTCCTTTGATGCTCACAACAGTCCTGTGAGGTAAATACTATTTGCTTTCCCCATTCTCCAGATGAGCAAACTGAGGCAATCAGGGGTTAAGTGCCATGATTTGAAATCAGGTCTTCCTAACTCCAGGTCTAACACTCTACCCACTGAACCACCTAGCTGAGAGAATAATGGCTGGTTGGTCCCTAAAAGGGACACCAGCATCAGTGCATCCTTGCTCAGGAGTACCTAAGCCCAACTTCTTTTCATGATCACTCATGTTAAAATAAAATCATGTGTTCTCACTCTACCTCCTAGCATACTTATGAAATACAGCAGGGAGGGGGGAAAAGGGGATTAAAGTCCTAGGTAATGTGACACAGTCAATTCAGATTGATGGACCGTCTAAAAGTTGTGCTCCTCTTGGCAGCTTCTTCCCTCTTTGTCTACCTTCCTGCTATCGTCGCTGCCAAAGGAGAAGAGAGCCATAGAGGATGCGTTCTGTTCTTTCACGGGTTGCCCAAAGGTTCTTGTTGTGGTGGTTATTGGTTTGTCCTTCATTCTCAGGAAGGACCAATGACATCAGGAGGGTGATGTCTTGACTTGCAAGCGAATTGGATTTAAGTGAGGGAGGGCTTTGCAAAGTCATCAGCCTCGCTCTCTTCTCTGGAGCCATCTGGGTCCAGTGACAAGATAGAGATCAGGAGGACTGGCAATGATGGCACAAAGTAGAAGACCTTGGCCATTTTAAGCTAAGGTCTTTCCCAGGTCTCAGTTTGTCTAAGGCAACACCCATTCAGTGTTTAAGGGCTAGGTAAGAATTGAGACATAAGATGACCTAGTTTTCCATCACAAAAGAATCAATCTGGGAGGGAAAGACCCTCTGGGTTTTGGGACCAGACAGAAAATGACTGCTATTTGCACTCACTCTGAGCCATGAAAACAAAAACCATGAGCAAGCCAGGCTTTGACTGGGACCTATTGTTGGCCAATCAGTGAAAACCAGTGATTTGGGTTTAAAGGCATAGCCAAGTGGTTCCATTTGAATCATGATGGGCTTTTTCAAAGCCTGCCTTTTCAGAGCTATATTTCCAGAAATCATTAATGAAACTACATGAGACAAAAGAGTCAATTGTCCCAGCCTTTAAAAAAAAAGAATAAATAAATAGGGAAGAAAAAAAAATCTAGCCCCCAAATCTTAAGATATCTTGTGAAGTATAAGCCATTGAAAATTATATTCCTCTGGACAGAGCACCCACATGTAAGGGTATGACTCCCCCCATGGACAGGAGGAGGGAGGAGGAGGAAGAAGCTGCTCAAAGATTATTTATGCACAGAATAGGTAGGCATGGGTAAGTTGACCACATGGCCCAAATAACTGGAGGCAGCCATTATACTGATGGGATCCAGACCAGTCTTAACCATATCACTCTGCTACTTAATACACTTCAGTGGCTCCCAATCACCTCTTCTGCTTGGCTTTTACACAACTTCACCTCCTGACTCTTCCTGCCTTTCCAGCTTCTTCTATGCTCCTCCTTCCACGGCCTCTCTGGCCCAGTCCACGTCCCACTCTCCATCTCCCATCTCTTGCCTTTGCCCTGGCTATCCCCCATGTCTACAATGCTCTTGCTCCCCACCTCCACTTCTTGGAATCCCAGGCTTCCTTCAAGACTCAGCTCCAGGACTGCCTTCCAGGAAGGTTTTTCTGATCTTCCCAACTATGAGTGCCCTCCCACCGAAAACCTCCTTCCATCACTCTTTAAACATTCTGTAAATATAAATGCATATATGAATATATAATTTGTATTTACATATGCATAGATATATGTAAATACTAATGTATAATATATATTATTCATAAATATGTAAATAATACACACATACACACACCCACACCATGTAAACTGTCTCCCTCATTGGAACGTAAGCTTCTTGAAGGCAGGGGCCACTTCATTTTGGTTCTGTATCCCCAGTGCTTCCACAGTGCCTGGCCAACAGTAGCCATCTGATCAATGCTTGTGGTACAGTAGCTACAGTATTGGATTGGGAATCAGGATTTGGAACCTGAGTTCAAATCTTTCCATAGACATTTACTAACTATATGGACAAATAACTTCCCATCACTGGGTCTCAGTTTCCTCATCGGTAAATGAGGCTGTTGGATTAGTTGGCCTCCAAGATTTCCTCCCAGGATTAGTAATGACTGAGTACTGGAAAGTAACAGAACACGTTCTTGTTGTTCAGTCATTCAGTCAGGTCCGACTCTTCATGAGCCCATGTGGGGTTTTCTTGGCAAAGATACTGGAGTGGTGCACCATTTCCTTCTCCAGTTCATTTTACAGGTGAGGAAGTTGAGGCAAACACAGTGAAGTGACTTGCCAGGGTCACACAATTAGGTAAGTATCTGATTCAGGATTTGAATTCAGTTCTTTATGACTCCAAGCCCAATACTCTATTCACTAGACCAACTAGCTACTTTGATATACAGGATCTCCCAAAGTCTTCGTTCAGTTTTAAGCTTTTCGATAGCTTAAAATTAAATTTTGTATTTAAAGTACAATAGCCAAGAATTGCACTAAGACTCTTGGGTGACCCTCTGTAAATCAGAGCTTCAGCCATCAGCCCATGCAGCTATTCTCACCACATTAAAGGCACAACGTTGCTGAGGCAAAATGGCCATTAGGCAAATAATCCTGGCTGCTCCTAACTACTCAGCCCTGATGTTTGACTCTGATGTCCTGGAAACCCTTTTTGGGTTTCACATTCAGTGTGACTGTCTATCCCCGCACCGGCAAGCCCGGAAGAAGTTTCACAGAAATTGCCCTGGTTCCTACCTTTGGGATTCTAGAATCCTTCTTTGAAAATCTGCTATTGGGCTGACATCGCTGAACCCCATCCCTCACCACTCTTGGCAACACCGTTTGGCAGAACGGGGAAAGCCTGGCCTCGAGTGGTTCTAAGGTTCAGGCACATTTTGAAGGAGCTCAGTGGTCCGGCCAAAGCTGGAGCTGGCAACGTCTGGAGCACAATCCAATCCTTGGCTACCTCAGTGAGAGAGGACTTCATACGCTGTAACTATTCCAGAAGAATTTATTAAGCCCACAAGTCAAGTGCTGGAGACACAGACAAAAATGAAACAGTGCCTGCCCTCGAGAAGCTTGCTTTCTACCTCACCAAGTTGGGGGACAATGAGCAAAGGCCCCTTTCCAACTCTGCTCCCAAGTGGTGCGATTCTGAGAACTGGTTGCTAAATTCCACTGATGAAGCCAAAAATTAAACACATTGAGAGGTAGCTTGGGTCATAGTAGAAAGACACTAGTTTCAAGGTCAGAGTACTAGGGTTCAATCCCAGCTGTGTGGCCCCGGGGAAGTGATTTCCCCTCTCTCTAAGCTGCAGTTTCTCCCTCTATAAAAAAAAAAAGCAGAGGTATTTGTGGGTAGATTAACTTCTGCTCTAAATTTGCTATCTGATCCAATGAGCCCCCTCTGCCCCCTTTCTTTTTTCATTTCAAGTATTTTGGTGCTCATAAGCAAGTCGCAAGGTAGGACTGCCTGGCAAATCCCAAGACAGAAGAGTCAGATGTCACAGGCAGACTGTCAAGGGGGTCAACGCTCAGCATGAGCTATAGAAATCCTAAAGCCAAATAAAACTCCATCATCCCCCAGGACAAAGGAATCAGGCAGCCCCTCACAGGCAAAGAGAAGAGGACCTGGGACAAGGAGGCACCAGAGGAAGGGAGGGGGAAGGAAAGGGAAGGGCAAGAGAAAAGAAGAGAAACAGGACAGGGAAAAGGAAGGGAACAGGAAAGGAAGACAAGAACCAGCCTCTCGCTGAATTGTATAAGACCATTCAATGTATGACTTGTCCTAGCTGGATAAGACCACAAAGTCACTCAATCCTTGTCCCCTCCCATCTTTCAGAAGAGAAAAGCAAGGCCTAGGGAGGAAAAGAAACTTATCTAAGGTCACAGAAACTGGAAGTAAATAACAGAGCCATGATTCAAGCCCAGATCTCCAGGGCCTTTTCCCAGTGCACCTTCCGTACCGTGCCTCTGACAATTCACTGTATGTGAGCAAGCAGGCAAGCATCTGTTCACTAAGTGACTTCCCTAATCTGGAGAAGAAACAGCTGGATGTATGTACATACATATATACATACGTACTGCTCTGTACTACTACTGCTGCTGCTGCTATTACTACTATATGTAAAAATAGTATTTTATTTATTTAATGATTTATTAAATATGCATTAAAAACCTACCATTATTAAACCTAGAATTCATTGTATGATATATGCTATTTTTTTGAAATTTAAATATTAAATATTAGTTATTTTAAGAGTAAATGTAAATAGGTATGAACAACACATAAACTAGCATTTATGGGACATGGAACATGAAGTGATTCACAACTGTCATGTCATTTAATCCACACAACTGGTATCATTACTATTTACAAGTCCCTCCACATGCACGCACACACACACACACACACACACACACACACACACACACACACAACACAGAGGTCTGACCATGCATAAATCCTGAGACAGAATAAAGCATCATTGTGCCCTGGGAGCTGCCCAGGTATTGCTCTATGCCCTGGGGGAAGGTTAAAATTACAAATCAAAGGTGAGGATTCTGGCCTCAAGGAGCTCCCTGTTGGAACGTTGGGAGAGACCACGTCTGGGGACACAGAGCAAGAACCAGATCCGTGGACGGCACTGTGGAGTGGAGTAAGTCAGTGGG